TCGGTTAAAGAAAAGTCTGCTTGGAACTCATTTAAAATGCTTGTAGAAAATTTTTTGGGAAATAAAAAAAGTGAAAATTATGAAGAAATTTTTAACAATTTATTGAAAAACTTTCATGATATGGGAGTAAACATGTCATTAAAGATTCACTTTCTACACTCTCACCTGAATTTTTTTCCTGAAAACTTAGGAAGTATGAGTGACGAACAGGGTGAACGTTTCCACCAAGATTTAAGGACTTTCGAAGAACGACATCAAGGATTTTGGGATGAAAATATGTTAGGGGATTACTGTTGGTCTATCATAAGAGAAACTGATTCAAATAACTATAAAAAGAAAGCAAAAATTAGTCATTTTTAATTTATTTTTGTATTAATCCTAAAATTTTTGTATTTCCCTTCAAGAAAATAAATATTTTTTAAACCAGACGTGATATAATTTTTTTATTATTTTTTCTGGATAGTTCTACCTGAACACAAAATAAAATAACAACTTTCAGCTGGGGTATGAAAACCGTGTAAACTAGTGTAATTAGTGACGTACGTGTATGAGTCGATTAAAGCTTTTCCTGTGAAGATTATTTTTAGGATTTCAGGCCTAAGTTGGCATAAATCGAATTCAAGAATTTTGAATTAAAAAAAATTATGATTTAAAAATAGTTTACTTGATGTGACAACACAAAATATTAATTAATTTTATGGTGATTTATTAATCTAAATTTTAATAACTTCCCCAAGTTTTATTACATACACTACATACATATTACAGATCCATGATTTTGTCTCATGTATCTTTTTATAAAACTACAAAACTAATGTGGCTTCTATGTCTAACGATATCAAATGTAAGTAAAGACATTATTGTATTCAGTATCCAAAGTTATTTGTATATATATTGTTATAAACCAATCAATCTAGGTCTCAAGCACTTCTTTTCCTGAAAAAGTTTCTTCTTAGTTGTCTTTTATTCAAAAGAGAAAAAATGTTCATAAGGAGACAAAACCACTGAAATACCGACTATCCCATTTCATAATTGAACTGTCTTCTTCACTTATAATTAATTACGAATATTATATTTATAATATATATCCATTACATAAAAGAATAGTTGAACCGATAATAAAAATAATAGACGAGGTTATTTTTATATTCACTTTTCAATTTTATTTAGGCTTTAGATAACATATCTAAAATAGACGTAGAAGTGAGTTATGTTGCAATATCATCGTATTGGATTATACGCTATCATTTTTGGCATTTATAAGACATCTTATCATATTTATATCTTAAAAATGCGTGTGAAAGTGGTTTGAGACGCGGTAAGAAGTTTATAAACTTAAACATCGTTGTCATAAATTATATGTGAGATCTTTACGTTATTAATTTCGGTACTAATATTTTGGGTAGCCCTTCATCCCCACTCCACGTTTCACTGCGACATGCAATGAATAGAGGAAGAAATATACATTACATTTTAAAATAAACACGAAAATATTGATAAGTAGAATTATAACATAATTTTACGTGTACTCTTACTACAATTATAACGATTTTAAGCGGGTAAAATCATAGTTTGAGAAAAAAAACAAATTTGCTGCTATATATTTTTTACTTATTATGAATATGACTGTCAGTTTCTCGTATTGTTTGACGTCTATCAACGATTTCTTCGGTTAACACGTGAAAATTTTAGATAACATTAATAGATTGTATTTTTATTGCTTAAATGATACCGTCACTATCTTCCTTCGAGTTTTTGTTTATTGAACAATTTTAGCTATTTATTTTTATTAAATTAAATTTCGGATGATTATTTTAGCGAAGTTTAGAGATGGAAATCCATCCATCAGCCTTACAGGTTCATATCTCCACCAAATAATTGAATTTGTATTTAAACTGAAAGAACAAAATACTCTTTCTTCATGGACAAGATTTTAGTGCGTCACATCATATAAATTCAATTACTATTATATAAACTTTCGATAAGAGATTCATGGTTGCAAGTCACGAAATATCACTCATGGCTTACTTTTATCAGAAAAGCATTACGTATTGTATTAGGTGAATCTCTTGTAACTAAATCTATTTTTTGTAATTTTTCATATATAAAAATTTGAATATTTGTCAGTTTTCATTAGTAAAGCACTGCATTGAAAATTGTTATAAAGTATGGCACCGTATAGAGAGACAAACAATCGTGTTTCAATAACATTGCTCTGTAATAACAATAACGTTTTAGAAATGAAACCCTATAAAAAATTTACTTAAGTATACAAAACTACGATAACAACGACAAATATTTGTTAAATATATGGAATTAATGTAAAATATTGCTTTGAGTGACAAATTATATGGAAAAATTCATACAAAGACAATTTAAATGATGGATATCCAAGAAGCGAATATGGGAAACATGCTTAGCCCACTATGGACTGTAACGCCGAGAACTTCTCGAAAAAATTCGGTTTGTCTTAAGATGTTTTATCTGAAGGAAAATTGCAAGTAAAATATCTTTCTCCTTAAAATGTCACTAAGGAAACATAGAAAACTAAAGTTAAAATTATATATGAATGAATTAACCTAGTATATTTCAGTATATACGAGGATTGCTTTGACTTAAATAGATATACAGGGTGACTGGTAAATTACTATCGATACTTGAGGACGTGATATTTGACGATCATATATGACAAAATAAAAATTAATATAACATAAATATTAATAAACTTCTAAGTAAAGTTAACCAAAAGTTATGTAATTAATTACGCATCGTGTGAACACCCTACATATTAGGTATACACACACACACACACACACGCGCGTGCGGCGGCGTGGTGTTGTATCAGCACGCCGCCGCACGCGTCCACACTTGGAACACTTGGAACGTGTCCACACTTAATTTATTTATACGGAAATTTGGTCAAAAATTAACTACCTATTTTTTTACATTATTCGAATGAGAATCATGTACCGAGTATTCTCCTTAAATATTGATAGTAATTCACCAGTCACCCTGTATATATTTTGTGTATACACAGATAGAAGTAATAGCAAAATATAAAATCTTATAGAAGAAATTAATTAATGATGTTCTCAACTAGCCTACGGTCGAACAAATAAACATAGTTCAATAAAAAAATTAAATAGTAATGATATATACAATAATTATTATAAGAAATAATATGAGTACATGTCGTGAACAGTATTTGTATTTCTTAATGTGATGATAAATCAAATGTCGGCTGTAGACAATGATGAATTATGAATGATTACGTAATTTAGGCATAGTTGGAGAAAAGCCAAAGTACAGGAAGAACGCTAATAATGTGTACTATACTTTATATATTTATTATAAAAACGATATAAAAATGCAATATAATTATTATACAATTTTAATATTTTTCTATTTACACACAAGTCATTGTAGACCTGAAAGCAAAATTTAAATGAAAAAAGGTTCAAGAAATAGTAATTTATTAAGTTCGTGAACTACATAAGCTTCTTCTACATGAATATCTTTACAATCACCAACTTGAAAATATTTTCTTCCCACAATTTGTTTTTAATGCTACCATCCACATAGTAAAATTATAGTAAAAAAATATTTTGCATTTGAATCTTTGAATGAAATGTAAACTATAAGAAAAGCTTCTGAAAGTTTTAATACAAAAATAATGTTACTGGTGTAACTTCAATCGTTCTTAATAACGATGGTCAAATAAAAAGAATTAAATTTTGTTCCAAAATAAAATATAGAATAATTTTAAATAAAGTTTACAAATAAATAAAGAATAAAGCTTTATAAAAACTACTAATTCATTAAAGAAAATTGATATAAAGATATTTATCAAATAAGAGGAAAAGGGTTTTATTTGACAATATTGCAGAATTATCATAGATACCACTCTTAATCGCTAGAAACATTCAAATTTAACATTGTCCCGTATTTGCAAGAAGCATATCATCTAGAGATAATTAAAATGTCAACATACTACTTAGTCAAAACGTATAACGGTATATCATTTATTTCTCAGTCAAAGTAAAACCGCTCATACATATCAAAACACAAGGCACGCAGAATTGTCATATATATAATATTAAATTCTGTTATCAATGATGATGAGATCTAAGACTTTCGCGAGTATTTATTTAATTAAAATTAATATTTTCAGATTACTAGGCGTTTTTAATATTTTAAACTACATACTCCCCACGGTTCGGTTTTTCGGTCGTCGGGAGTATGTAGTTTATAGTAATAAAAAAATATTAATTTTATTTACCATTATCAATACCTAATAGCTTTACTGCTTGAAATTATGACTGTACTTACTGTCATATATAAATTTTATTGTACAAATCAGTTTACGTAAACATATTTCGTAGCCACATAATCATTGTAAGTCCCAGATATCGTTTGAAGTACCTAAAATGTAAATAGTTTTCTATTTTACGTATAAATTCACTAACCAATTATGAATTCAGCTAATTATTTTTAAATTTCTCTACGAAACTATCTTATAGTAATATGTATAAGTAAAGAGACATATATTAATTGGATTAATAGTAAAACTATATATTAATTGGATTAATAGATACAACAACTAAATTCACAAAAATCAACACGAATAAAATAAGAGTAGAAAAGTATTAAATCCTTGTAACCTACTAGTTTATACAAGAGATGGCATCTCCATTGATTCAATCTAGAATTATTCAGTCACCTTAAATCTTTGTAACTACTTAATTGTTTTAAGTGGCAGATTTTGTTTAATGTGCTAATTATTAAAAATAATATCAGATATAATATCATTAAGTCAAAAGATATAAAATTGATCACCTTCATGCCTTATGAGAATGTTTCTTTAGTATAGGCTTGATAAATGTATAGAATTTAGGTACTTCGAGTTGGGGTTCATCTCCGAATTTTGTTTGTAATTTATTTATTTTGACACTACAGGTTACACAAAACCCTTCATAAAATGCGGTCCAAAAGGTTACGTAATGCCGGGAGTTTTCAGGAAGCACGCGGAGGCTATATACAACTTCAAAGTTCGACCTGATGACGTATGGGTTGTCTCAGTACCAAGATCAGGTTGGTTCTTACAGTTTTAAATCATCTTTATTTTATTTTATACTACCTGTGCCCCGTGGTGTTAACCGCGGATTTCCCGGATTTGCGGGATGTAAAATAGCCTATGTGTTATTCCTGGACGTCAGCTTCCTGTATACAAAATTTTACCAAAATCGGTTCAGCCATTTGAGCGTGAAGAAGTAACAAACATACACACACACTCACAAACTTTCGCAATTATAATAGAGTCTTATAAAAATAAAATTATGTAACCTACGATGAGTTTCGAAGTTTGCACGTGTAAATTATGTACGCTTTATATTTCATCTTTATTTGCGTATTTGATATTGATTCTTTATATTCATATTGAGTTATTAATTTCTTTAAGTAACTAAGTCAAATTTATGTCTCAATGATTCAGTAATTTTCATAAAATGATTTTATGTCAATAACTTCGTATCAGTCGAATTTTTTATTGTAAATTGTTTTTTTATATCTATAGCAACATGATAATCACGGCGTCACATTTTGATAATACTGAATAGCTTTTATTGCTAACTATATACCTATATTTCGGTGTTAGATAAAGCTTGTATTTAATGAGTATATTAAATAAAATAGTACCTTATATAATATGCTTTTAGGAACAACATGGACCCAAGAGATGGTGTGGTTGCTAGAAAATGATTTAGATTACAAAACAGCCAAATCGAAGCCATTGTTCGAACGGTTCCCGATGCTTGAGTGAGTTTATTAAATATTATATCAAAATAATACAAAATAAAAATAGGAAACTGGGCCTAGTCTTTGCCACTTTCGAGATACATGCAAAATACATCATATTTTTTTATTTCAATTAACTTTTACAATAATGCTAGTAAAACAAGCAGTCATAAAATTATTTTGTTTACAGAACCACATCACACATACCAGAGATGGGTCACATTTTCATCAGAATGAACTTCATGAATCTGGGTTCTTTTCAAGGCTTAAAGAAAGCGTCTCAGACCCCAAGCTGGAAAACTTTAGAAATGGCGCCTTCACCACGCTTCATTAAAACTCACCTACCTCTATCGATGCTCCCTCCTAACTTACTCAACACTGCCAAAGTTATCTACGTAGCTAGGGATCCTAGGGACGTTGCTGTCTCCTACTATTATTTGCACAAAATGATTGCTAAGAAATTCATGCGAGCCTCCTTCACAGATTTTTGGAATGCATTTAAGAGAGACTTATGTGAGTTTTAAATAATTATTATATTTAAAATATGTAAGAACGAATTTTTTAAGGGATCTTTTTTTATCTTGTAACATTTTCTTCCACCTTCAATTGAGGTGAAAATGAAATCTATCGCTTTTGAAAATTTTATTGAAATCTCCTCTGCCAAGTCAAAAACGCATACATTCGGAATTTATACATGTATGTTATTTAATATTTTAAATGTTATTCCAGTACCCATGACACCAGTTATTGAACACGCCAACGAATCCTGGAACCAAAGACATAACAAGAATCTACACTTTTTATTCTATGAAGACATGAAAAAGGTAGATATTCCCATTGAAGAAACAATTTTAAACACATCATACATCGAAAATATTGCTTTAACTTCATCATTTTAATTTTTAATTCAGAAATTAAAATAACTAATTGATAGCGAATAGATTCTAGAAACAAAGCAAATACATTAAATACCCTACCTATTGTATTTTATAAAAGTCTAAATGCTTTTAGTGACTAACATTCTCTCGTATTATACCTATATATTATTCATTTTTTAAAATATTTTTCTTTGTACGCGAACTGTGTCAGTAAAAAGCAATTAATAGTCTCGGCAAACACTTTTGCTATACCGATCATGACTAATGGCGATGAAACTGCAATCAATCAAGTATTTTAAGCCAAAATTTGATACTGAAACTTAATTTTTATTTTGATTTTATGGTTATTACGAAATTATTGTCAAATATACATATAAGAAAATGTGCATTAATTATGAAATATGTTTTAGGACTTGGTAAAAGAAATACAAGGTGTATGCAAATTCTTGGACCGAAATTACACAGATGAAAAAATAAATGAGTTAGCCAGTCATCTTAGTTTCGATAGTTTTCGTAATAATAAAAATGTAAATAACAACGCTGACGGAGATGGGAAGATTCAATTTATACGGAAAGGTAATTAAACAGTTTAGTTTAAATATTATTATTTTAATTTTCAAAAGAAATTTTTTTATACATTGAAGCCCTAGCCATCAGTACACAACAATCAAAATCTTTAGCTCCTATATCTGTTTTTTCTAGAATGTAAGACAGTTATAGTACCGTTGGATAGTTAGTTTTGTGAAGAACATTAACCCACTGTGCCTATATTATATATTCCAAAATATATATACCTTCTTTGACGGCGCTTAGTAAATAAGTATTGTTTATGTCATTCAAGGAGAAGCCGGTGGCTGGCGAACACATTTTGACGCCGAGATGAAGATTGAAGCCGAAGACTATCTTTCAGAAAGGCTTAAAGGACTCGACTTGAAATACCCGTCTTGGGGCTCAAAATAGTCCTCTCATTTTTTATATAAATCAGCTATTTAAGTAGTAGAAACATCTTTGTAAAACGATATCAGTTCCTAACTTTCGTTTGAAATATTTTAATTTTTATGAAGTGAGTGGAGTCCATGTATTGAATCTCCGAAATCTTAAGTGATTCACGATTTTGGCAAATAATTTGTTATTATGTGTAATTCTCTGTTCCTATATATTCTGTTTGTAAATAAATGATGAACATGAAATTCACCTATTTAATAAAAAGATTATTGTTTTAATAACCGCCGTTAATCAGATTTATTCTACCATTGTGTTAAAATAAATACATAAGCGCCTTAATGGACGCATTGACAATGAATGGGTAAAAATATATATCTTGAAATGGTGAACTCAATAACCTTTGAAAATCCTATTTATTTTTTTTTTTTTATAATTTGATAAAACGACACGAAATTGAAATGTATTAGATATAGATAAAAATATTTTTAATTTCCTATTTTTTTTGTATTTATATGAAAAAATAAATAAGTCGAACAAGTTTTGAAAAATTATACTAAAGTACGATCTATGAAATGATACACACGAAAATAGATACAAATATATAAATATAGAATAATAATTTTAATAAACAAAGGAAATTTTAATAAGAATCTTATTATATAATATGAACTTAAATCTGCATCTCATGTAAAGAGTGTAACAGAATTTCCCACACCCGGAACTAGATATTAAGACTACATGAAATAATAGTTTTACTATATTTTAATTAGATTTTGTAAAATAAACATCTGAAAGTAATTTACATAATACTTAAAAAATTCATTATTCGTTCTTATTTATCTACATCGCGGATTCATGTGTTTCTGTTTGTTGATATATATGTATATGTACATAATTAAATAAGTAAGTTTAAAACGCAACGTGGGAATGGTACCTTAATAATTATTATTATTGACCAACGGTAAAAAAAACAAATACGTCTCTGATCACATAACCAAGGTGACAATTTTTAACCAATCTAATAAAATAGTTAAAAAGTATATGAAATTTTTAGCAAAGAAAATAGGAGATCTAACAGTTTTTATAATTTCGCTACTAAAATGTACCCAGCTCGTGACAATTTTGTAGCCTTCATTAACAATTTCTCAATTTAACATTAAATTAGGGAGTTCTGTAAAGTAAAGCCAAGTTTGTTTATCTCATATCGAGATGTTTACAGAGACAGGCAACTTTATTATTACTCGTAATTGATTCTATCAGAAATTAAATTAACCTTGTTATGAACTAAGATCACAGGTAGGGAATTCATTAGTTACATTGTAATAAATTTATCTTTCTACTTCAAAGTAATATTATTTTAGTAGATTTTCATATATCCAAGTCATATTTTTATTACTTAATTATCGTATCTAAATTTCAGCTTGAGTTTGTTTTATTTAATTATAGGATAATGCTTGATATACTTATAGTATGTGGAAACGAAACCGTGGTTGCTAAACAGGTTGCCCATAGTAAGTTTATTTATTTTAGCATCTCAAGACGTTATGTACAAGGAATTACGAACGAAGATGAACCGTTCTAGTCTTTTGATGAGGCAGGAGAAAGCATATTGTTTCGTTCAAATGTAAGGAAGATCTACAATGAGGCAAAGGGAGGCTGCCGTGAGACTAGTTACAAAGGAATAGAAGAATGAAATCCTGCAATTAAAATTCAAATTCCCAGAAGTGTATTCTGTGAAATAAAACAAACTTATAGATGCGATTAAGACCTATTTGGTTGGTGGTCAGAAACAAGCATTTTTCAACGTCTTTAAACAAAATTCAGATTCCTAAGGTGGTATTTTTCCGAATCTACCCAATCTTGGCCTCACGACCAAATCTGTGCTATATAGTATCAAACAAGCAATAACTTTGTAAAGTATTATAGAAAACTGAAGATTTCAACTTCAGTTTTCTACAGTAAGGATAACAAAATATTCTTGTTCAAATGAAAGCCATATTAAAAATTAAGATCAATAATAAATAATTTAAATTGCTCATCAAACACACGAATTTTGCTGAGCTCTTACACCAAGGAATGAGAATATAAATGCTCCATTGTCAGCTTTGTTTGTGCCTTAGCCTTGCTACCTGCGCCTTGAAATTTCAATTATCATCAACTCTATAGCTAGCTGTAATGCACCATAAGATAGATTTTTTAAAGCAATGTAATTAAAATTTCATTTTAGGAAAACGGTTTTTTAATAATTGCCAGGACATATTTATAACATGAACATATCGCAATTTTTATAATAAACTAGCCACTACCCGAGGCTTATGCGTAGAAAAAAAAAATTTTAGAAAAGACTTTTAAGCGCTGCATGCTCATCGCCTCCCACTCGTGCTTAATACCGCTTAATTTTGGGATCGGGAAAAAAAGCTGCCTAAGTTACTATTAATTACGTAGGCTAACTGCCAATAAAAAGCCCATCAAATTCGGTCCATTCCAAATTTCTGAGATTAGCCGAAACAAACAAACGGAAAGACAAAAAGACAAAAACTGTAAAAATACTATGCTATAATATACCTGTCAGCGCAACAACATTTAAAACCCTTATAAGGGGGTAGTTGTTTCATAAGTATTTTATTTTAGAGGGTGAATATCACAAACAAATCACTAACGCCATTACGTTAGTGATTTCTTTTAACAAAATTATTTGTTCTAGAGATCATTGTATGGTTTGTATTAAAGAATAGTAAAAGTTAATTCGTAAGGTGATTTGTAATATGTGACGATTATTCATTTAGCAACTTTTAGTAAAAAGGGAACTTAATTAGTAATCAAATCGTAATCAATGCTAATCAATTACAGTATTCTATAAACTGTTAAGTGGCAATATAAAGATTGGATGTTTTAATAATTTATTACTAAAACTAATGTAATATGTTGTGATTATTTGAATAACTAAGATTATTCGTTACAGTTTAATATTTCAAATTAAAAGAGTAATTGTAATGATTACACAAAAACCATTTATATTCGCAAACGTTGGCGGAAGACACGGTAGTCTGAGAGCCATTCAGGAGAAAGATTATCTAATTACAAGTAACAGTTAAAGTCTGAAATAAAGTAGTGACAGTGTTTGTGAGTGATTGTGACGGCAGCATTGCTGACGTCACACTTCTTAAAAATTGCTATTACCATTTTAATAATCAATAATTGAGGGTAGATAAATTATCAGGTGTCGTTCGCGTAACAACCTGTCCGAGTGAAGTCATAACAATGGCTGTTAGTCATTATAAATAGAGGCGAGTTACTGATTACAGATGGTCGTGCTGGAGCCGTCGCGGGGATCGAACCTCTTCGAAGTGAGACATCATCTAACCGGCCGTGAGGGCTGTGAAGTTACCTTCGATAACCTCAAGGGCTGACGACATTCGAGGACAAACCGCACTGGTGACGTCAGTTATGCTGACGTCACTCATTTTAAAAAACCACGTATTGGCTTCTTCTCCGACATCAGAAGTGGGATAGCCCACTTCTGCTCGTCCATCTGACAATAATGGAGGCTTTATCGGAGCAGTAACTGCGGAATTTTTTCTTCACAAATGTTAGAAGACCCGGATATGAAAGTGGGAATCAGAGAATGATGTCAACATACTACAACCTATAACTACTGATTATGAAATCAGAATGAAACTTGGGAGTCTACTCTAAGGAGGCGCAAAGTTATGGACTGGCAATTAGTTAATATCTACATCAACGTGGTCGGAATTACGGGATGTTTTGACTACAGAGAATCGACACTTTATTTTATTTATTAATAGAAAAAGTTTTATTTTTATTACGTAACTATAATAATACTAACGATATTGTTTTTTTTTTTTACAGTGTTATAAGCGTGGGTACCATCGAAACGTGAAACAAAAGCCTAATTCCGAAAGACGTCCACTGCAAGACACAGGCCTTCCCAAGGATCTCCACGACGACCGGTCTTGTGCCACCCGCATCCAGCGGATTCCCGCGACCTTTACCAGATCGTCGGTCCACTTGTTGGGGACCTACCCACACTGCTTCTTCCGGTTCGTGGTCGCCACTCAAGAACCAGTTGGCCCCATCGGGTATCGGGATTAATTGTTGCAATTATTTGGCATATAATGCTCTGTAAGATTGGTAGCTTTGGTATGTTAACATAGTATCACCAAAGCCATGGCTCATCTCTTGACTCTACAGGAATAAGTTTGCCAGACTTAGGTTAATGATGTGTTATCAAAATATAAACTTTAAATAATTATATAAGGGTGATAATGAATTGAACGTTTGTTACTTGAGAAAACAGTTTTCTTTAAATGTTTCATTAAGTATTAAGTGTCCAGCCTTGTCTACACTTGCCGGCTGTATCAGACGTTATATTCTCATATTTTATTTTCACCTATAATACTTCGACTATAGAGTCTAATTCATATTGTTAATTCATAGAAATTGATAAGATGAATCTGTGGATCGGTCCTACACTTATTCTGTTCCAGGAAGCAGCACTTATACAGGGCAACTCCATTCAGGCGCCAGAGGCATTAACTAGGGAGTAGCTCCTGCTCAAAATTGTCAATGGGCGCCTTCATCCAGTCCGATAAATGAAAAAAATAGCAACTAATGTTGGGAGCAGGGTAACGGTCTTATTACTGAAAGAGTCGTGCAGTGAATTGCAATTGATGTAGCGTAAAAAGAATAATGTAGCACAATTATAATTTTTATGAACACTATTTAACGAACTATGTGTTAACACGGTAAACAAAGATACCGAATGTTAAAAACTAAACAACAACGCGTTATACACTTCATTCACTAATAGTTAGTATGAGCAACATAGATAGTGACGAATACGTTATCGTAATAATAGACTTACTTACTAAATGAACACCGGTTCAGATTACACTTGATGTCGATCGTGATATTTTCAGTGAATCCAAAGTTTACTGTGACTCTTTGAAACTAACATATATTTGATAGCCTCAGGAGTAAGCCGAGCTAATGGA